GGCCTCTCACTGCTGTGGCCTCTCCCGTTGCGGAGCACAGGCTCCAGACGCGCAGGCCCAGCGGCCATGGCTCACGGGCCCAGCCGCTCCGCTGCATGTGGGATCCTCCCGGACCGGGGCACGAACCCTAATCCCCTGCATCAGCAGGCGGACTCTCAACCACTGCGCCACCAGGGAAGCCCCTCCTTTTCTCTTTTATAAGGAGGAGGTAGGATGAACATAATTATGAAGTACCACCGCCATCCCTTCCAGAAGAAGTCTATCCCCATGGACAGGCCACCCTGACCCCCAGCTTTCAAGATTCAGCACTGACCTTGAACGCCTCTGTCCTGTCCCACCAGTTTGAGAGGTTTCATCAATTAGTGGACTCAAGATCTTTTCTGTCATGTCCGTGAGCACTGTGAAGGTGGGTTCCACAATGAAATCAATGAAGCCTGAAGAGAAATAGCAAAACTTCAGAGGAACTGCTTATTAACTTGGGCCTTTCCATATGTTCCCATGCCAACAGATGGGTTGTATCTTTCTTTTAAAATTCATCTCCATAGGAGCGCCAGATCAGATTAGGAGAGAATAGGTTGCTCTTAATCATTTAATATATTCCTTGTTTTGAATATCATGAGTCAGTTCCATTTCTCCTACATAACCTTCCTATAACTTTTTAGGAGATAGCTCAATAAAGTGCTTAAAAATGCAAGTTCAACATCTACTATGTAAAAAAACGATGTAATAGGTGCTGCATAAAAGACTAAGATGTGTAACTCAACCTGCCTGCCCTTGGAAGCTTATAGGAGGAATTAAATGAGCACAAAAACGGAAAGGGCTAAAGGAGAAGCCCAAATAAAGGCCCCTGAGAAGGTAAGGGAGGGAGGATATTTTCCCTCCCACCGAGAAGGCTGCAAACAGCATCATGGAGGTTGTGATGTTTGAGCTGAGCCCTTAAGGGTATTCATTCTAGATGCAGGGGGTGAAATAAGCAAAGTGACAAGGATAGGGAAAAGTACAGGATGTGTCTGGAGAATGACTGGAGCTTAGGGATTCTTTTCAAGTCAGAAAGGGAAAGCCTGGGGAGGCAGGTCATTATCAGCTCAGGAGGGAGGTTCTTAAGTATCAGGCTAAAGGTTAGGATTTAGATAGGCACTAGGAGCCCCTTGAGATGTCTGGGCAGCATTGTAATAAGATTTTTTTCTGATGTTATTTGGGAAAGTTAATCTGGCAAGATGGATGGGAAGGGAGAGAGCAATAGGGGCTGAGGCTGGGAAACTCATTTTAGAAGCTGTTGCAATAGCTCAAAGGCAAGGTAAGGAAGGCAAGATCCAGTGTCATTTTAAGGTGAGAGTGTGATGGAGGCACAGATACATGCACAGCAGGAGGTGGTCCTGCCTCTAGGTGGGATCTGTCAGAGACTTCCAACCGGAAGTCAGAGAGAACAGGGACAATGGGGGAGAATGTGACTGGGGAGGAAGATGGTGGGCTTGGTCTTAGATTTGCTGACTTGAGGTACCAGGGACCTATCCAGATGGAAGAGGGTCAAAAGAATTGGAAGAAACAGGGTTGGAAACTAGGAGAAGGGTCAGATCTGGAACTATACCTTTGAGAGATCACCATGCTGGGGAGATAGTTGATGCTGGGCTAGACTGACTGTCTCAACAGTTCAAAAATACCCAGGTGTTCTGTGACACATCAGGAGAAAATACAGAATCTGGAACTAAGGGTGATAACTCATTACACAGCCACATGAAACTAAATACCAGTCAACGGAAATATAGTGTTTGGAAATATACAAATGTTTATTTGGTTTTTACAGTGACCAAGGTGGAAGTGATACTGGCATTTAATGCCCAGCAGTGAAGGATGCTAAAAAACTCCTGTAATGTAATTGGCAAGACAAGAATTGTCCCAAGTAAATACCAATAGTGTCCTGATAAAGAAACACTGATAGCCAAATTTGAATTGCAGTTAATTGCAGTATAATTTTAAGCTGAAATTGAAGTGTTTGATGACAGTATTTTCACCTTTTTTTTTTCTCACAAGTTAAATTCATTCAACATGTCCAAACCCAAACTAACTCATCAGCTTTCCCTCCAGTCCTTGTAAATAGGACATGGCTCAACCGCTCAATCTAGATTGCTGCCTTTATCTTAGCCTTGCATCCAGCTGAATCCTTAATGTTTTATGCGCTGCCTCTCTCCTGTATTGCCTTAGTTCTGATACTCAACATCTCCTCCCTTTGCAGGAAGCACCAGCTGGAGCCCTTGCCTCTAACTCAAAAGCCTCCAATTAATCCTCCATACTACTGATAGAGAAATCTTTCTAAAGCAGGGATTGGCAAACCTTTTCTGTAAAGGGCCAGATAGTAATATTTTAGGTTTTGTGGGCCACATACAAAACCTAAACAAAGGAGTTTGTCATACAACTGCTTAACTCTGCCACTGTAGTGCAAAAGCAGCCATAGACAATATGCAAATGAATGAGCTTAACTGTGTTGTAATAAATCTGTATTCACAAGACCAAGCAGTTCGACAGATTTGGCCCACAGGCTATAGTTTGCTGATTCTTACTCTAAAACATCAATTTATATATAGTTTTAACCTTACTTAAAATTCTTTAGCCATGCCCTCATTTCCTACAGGAAAGTATAAGCACACGCTATTCCTAACCTGGACCTGATTTTCTCTCCAAACATGTCCCTCACCACATCCTACTCCCTACCTACTGCTCCAGCCAAATGGAACTATTTGTAATTAATTCCCTGACAATACTATACTGTTTTAAATTTCCTTGTTTAGTATACGCTGGTCCTTGTCTGCAATTTCCTTCCACCCACCCCTATCCACCTCTAACACATATCACCATTTGCCTAGACACTGCCTACTTATCTCCTAGGACTCAACTCAAATATTACCTTTAAACAAGTCTTTCTGGGCCTAATGTTCACACACTCTGTTCTGTATCTCATTGTACCATGTACAATCTCTACCTTAGCATTGTAACAATCTAATAGATTTTGTTTTCTCAATCTCTTGCCTACCACCCAATACTGGTTCAATGTCTTTGTGAGCAGACACAATGTATAATTTGTCTTTGTTCTTTTTTATAACATCTGTTACAGTGTCTAGCAGTGACCTACACCTAACAGGAACTCAATATATTAATATGAAAAAAATTAATAAGTCCCCAAAACAGAAGTAGAAAAAAATCAATAAATCTTTGTTGAATTTATTTTTTGAATGATTTCAGACTCTTCCAAGGTGGAGATCACTGATGACATTTAATTTACGTTTGGCACTGGTACCCTCCCTCCCACCTGAAGAATTCTGTAATGCCCATATATTATGGTTATTAGCAGTGTAAAAGTTAACTTTACCAAAAAAAAAAAAGTGCTAAATTTTTTTTTAAAGGAAGGAAGGGAGGGAGGGAGGAGGGAGGAAGGGAGAGAGGAGGAAGGAAGGGAGGAAAGAGGAAGGGGAAGGAAACATTTTTAAAGAGCCATTCCTGGAAGTAGGGTCATCCAGGAAATGGTGCTGTCCTGGAAACAGGGCTAGAGGAAGCATCACTGAGGAAACTTCTGGTATTGCATGCAGAATGGAGAGACTGAAATAGAATGGGCTTCCCACCACTAATTCTTGTCATGGCCTTAGTGTTAAGGTCCCTTTTTCTCTTGGCAGGGAATGATGGAGACAGCAGAGTGTCACTGTCTAATCTTCCTGGGAACCAGCTATACTCCAGGGAGAAGGTTGGGGAGAGCTGCTCCATCAGCGCAACCAGCCAAAGCCATGAGCACGGCAAGCAGAATGGAGCCAGGTTCCCAGCTGAAGAATCACTGGGAGCATCTGAGCTTACTTCCAGACACTCCTTTCTGGTTTCTCGTTCCATCCAATGGATTGGCAAACACGTACCTACTTGTGACTGGGCAACCATGGTGGACTTTCGGTCACACAGAGGAGAAAAAGGTAGCCCCAGCTCTGCTTCTCTATCACCCTAGAAAAACAGGAGGTCAAAGTAAATTAACAACAACAGGCTGAGCTGCCCAGATTTTATTTCACAACTTCAGCTGCCACAAAGGCCACTGGTCTTTATTTTAATTATTCCCATTACATTATGTAATATGTCCTTTTGGGACCTGCTCCTCTGCATAAAAGGCACCAGGAGGCTGAAGCCCTCCGGGGTCCAATCATTCCATCCAACTGCAAAGGTGCATGCTGTTGTATAGAAAGCCTCGTCAGAAAGCAATAGGTCCCCCAAGGAAAATAAGAAAAGCAATGTGTCCTGTGGCCTAGAGCCAGCACAGCAGTCAGAATTCTTGTGTGTTCTCCAGTTGCCCTGTGCTGACCTGCCCTGTGCTGGCCTTTCTTGAGCCAGCAAATCCCTCCCAGTTGTGGGCAGTGTCTAAGACACCAATTCTAATTGGACTGATTTGGACTCATTCTCCAAGTGCTACCTAAAGCCATAAACAACTGGAATAAGCGCTTCTGGGGTCTTCACTGCAGGGCTCAGTGATGATGAAAAGTGGAATGAAAAAGAAGCAAAGTAAATAATTGTTTGTGTTTATCAAGTCAGACAATAATAAAACATGATTCTCTGGCCAATATGTTCTCAATCTCACCAAAAAGCAAGACTATAATAAGCAAGTGCTATGCAAAGTCTAAATAGCGATGGAGATGATTTTTAAAAACCGTTCTGAACCAGAGCGCAATATTTCAGTCACACGCCCAGAGGAAAGGGAAAATGTGTCACCCTTCTGAGAGCCGCAAAGTTGTGCTGATTCAATTTAACAGAAAAGAATCTGCCCAGGTTGATGGCTACGGACTTGGGCTTGAATCTGGCCTTGCTCTCGCCACCTGTGTGATCATAGGAAGTTTATATTCCCTCTCCACATTTCAATTTTTTTTAAATAAATTTATTTATTTGGCTGTGTTGGGTCTTCGTTGCTGCACACAGGCTTTCTCTAGTTGTGGCGAGCGGGGCTACTTCGATGCGGTGCAGTGCAGTGCGCGGGGTTCTCATGGCGGTGGCTTCTTTTGTTGTGGAGTACGGGCTCTAGGTGCACGGGCTCAGCAGTTGTGGCTCGTGGGCTCTGGAGTGCAGGCTCAGTAGTTGTGGCGCATGGGCTTTGTTGCTCCGCGGTATGTGGGACCTTCCCGGACCAGGGCTCGAACCCGTGTCCCCTGCATTGGCAGGCGGATTCTTAACCACTGCACCACCAGGGAAGCCGCACACGTTCAATTCAAATGTGGGATAATAATCCCTATGTCATCAAGTAACGATGAAGATTAAGTGACAAAATGTATATAAATAAATTAAAAGAACAATTATTGTTTCCCAGTAGATATTTCTACCATCTAAGTGAAGATCTGAGAAACTTTTAGTGAACTTGTTACATCTAATTGTTACACTCTGATTATAATAAATATCGCCAATGAACCTACAGTAAATAAAGAGTAATAACCTAATTCGACAACCACAGTTCAAAAACAATGCTTTTTCTTTCTAAGGCATGTTATCAAAGAGAAAGGATGCTAGTTCACATGAACATTTCAGATCTATTGAAAAGAAGGAAAAGGAATGGGCGAATGAGGAAGCTGAATAGTGGGGGTCACAATGGGCGCTGGGGACATCCAAGGGTCTCAGGAACAGTCCTGAAGTGGCTTAGTTCCTTCTGTACTCTTTCCTGTATGAACAGCCCATGGGACACAATGGTCCCTCTGTTTCTGAGTATGCCTTGCTGAGGGCTGCTCTATCTCTCAAGTGGCATGATGAAAATAACTTACTCCAAAGCTATTTGTACTTGGGCAGTATGACGAGAAGGAAGAGTATTTATAACGTAAATTGTGGTTGTGTAGCTGGTTTAGTGGGCTAGCTCAGCTAACACAAATAAAACCCACTCTTATTCCTTATGAAGCAGGGATATAAGTTGTTTTGTTGGTGCATTTTAATGGGTGTGGCTTAGAAGAACACTAACCACTTGACTATTAAGATGTATGCGTTAATTTGGATTTTATTACTGAAAAAGTGCATGATATTAAGCAACTTCTTATCCCATGGACTTGTCCATACCCACATCCACACGTCACTTACATCTTTTGGATTTAATTAACTATTACCACCAACTACTAAAAACCTATTTTAAGATAGTGGTCCCTGAATTCCCTCTGGAGGACAGATACATTTATAAATTGGAAAAAATACGCGGAAAGTAATACAGAAGAATGTTCTTCCACAGGCGAATCCAGCTTGACTGATACAATATTGTACAACTCTTTAACTACTGGCCCTTGTGGAATTATTCATACACCTTCCTCTTTGCTAAAGAGGTCAATATTTTCAAAAAAAGGGGGAAAGCCTCAGTCAGCACAAAGGATTTTTTTTTTAAAGGAACTCATTTTTTTTTCTTCCAGGACAGTGCTGAAAAATAAATAACTACCATTCTTGTGGTGGGGGTTAAGATAACTGACTGATAAGGTCACAGAATCAATCTACAAAAGGAACACAAGGAATGTTAGTTGAATGAATGAAAAGATGAATTTGGTTAGAAACACTCAAGGTCACTTGGACATTTATCACAAGCAAGCTGGGAGAGCAATTAGGCAGTTAGTTGTTCACAAACCACCGCGCCCCTCCATTTCCTGTCCACATGTAGCTAGACTACGATTCCCAGAATCTGTGCCAGTTTGTGCTAGATAATAAAACAGGAGGAGAGGGGATGTATTTCCACCACAGTTCTGGCCTATAAAACCACCTATGCCTATGTTTCAATGTCCTCCCTTCTTTTGCTGGCTTGATGTAGATAAGCACCATGGGAAGCCATGTAGATGGTAGAGTCTGGATCTAAAATCACTGCTTATTGTAAACCATCTGCCAATCAAGAAACACTTGTCGGTACTTTACATGAGTGGGTGATAAAATTCCATTTTATGTGTACTGTTATACATGTGCGTTTTTGTTTGTTACAGCAGCTATCTGTAAGCAGCAAACCAATTAAGAGAAACAAAGGTTCTTTCTGTATTGGAAGTTCACAGGGCAGACGGCATCTCTCAATGCAAGAGCTTCAAAAGACTGTTAGGTGATATCTCAAGTGAGTGTTTCCAGGTAGACTGAAGAAAAGGTATTTGATTGGGGAGGCAACAAAAGCATCAAGTTGAACAAAATGCAGCAATATACATTCTTCTTTCCCAGAGAAAGAAGTTACAAATACGAGGTATGAGAAAGTTATTATGATTTTGGATTTAAGTTAAGTATAGTAAAGACATCTTTGCCCTTCCCTCTCAGAAATTATCTTCTCAAAACAGGAGAATGACAAACAACAGAAACACAAACGAATATTAGGAGAAATCTGTAATCTCAAATCAAAACTATGTGAGGAATGGCTGCAAAATGCTGTGCATATCCGGGAGGGGTGAGGTAAGATGCCCAGAGAAGAGGCCTATGGCTGCAGATCTCAGATAAAGCTTGAAGGATAGAGGTTTCCAAAGTTCACTCAGACAGGAAAAGTACCCCACATCCATTACATGGGAAAACCAGAGGGACAGTAAGCACTGGTGTGAGGAGCTACTCTGCACCCTATTTAGCTCCAAGGAATAGTAGAGAAGAAAATGTTGAATGAGAAAACACACAAGCATGGCAAGAGAGTGGGTGGATGACAGAGACTGAACTGTGAGCCATCCTACAACTGTTGCCTACTGTTGACCAGGAAGAAGTAAAGGCTAACACACACACACACACACACACACACACACACCCCGTGTCATAGAAGCCTCAAAATAAACCATGGAACTTAGAATATTGCTGTTCCAGTTTCTCCCTGGCACATATCTCCTGCAAATAGTTGGTCAAAAAATAATGCATTTCACTCAAAGATGGTAAATAATAATAAAATGAAAAAGAAGGAAGAAGGGAGGAGAATGAGAAGCGGG